TTTTTTTTTTTTTTTTTTTTTACACTTTTTTTTTAATTTTTTTTTTTTAAATGTAAGCACGATAAAATACCTAATGGCATCTGTAGACAGCATAAGGATCAGAACAGTGAATTATGAAGAAACTGAAAGAACAATCAGACCAGCTAGGGTCTGATTCCACCACAGATGTCTGAAACAGACTTTAAAATGGAGCAGTCCAAGAACTCATTCCACTTAATCCATCAACTGGAAGTGTAGGATATGATTTGCTCAAAATAAAACTCCTCTGGGAGCAAGTCAAGACCAAACAGCCATGTTTCAAAATCAGCTAGCAAAAGTTATGAAAACAGTAAAGATTAAGTCACTGAGTTAGCAAGTATGTGTCTGACTGTAAGTATAACTAGCCAACGAAAGGTTACTGAAGGCTGTGCAGATTCTCCATCCCTGGCTTTCATTAAATCAATATTTTATTTCTCTAATAAAAATATTGTTCCATCTCAAACAGGAAATGATTCAGAAAATAAACCCCTACTTTCTTGTTGCAGACATCATGCTAAACAATCACAATAGTTCTGTTCCATTTGGGAACCAAAACATCACATTCCCAGCAAACCTACCAACCCTTCTAACTTGTGGTCAGCTGTTTCATCATCCTTCCCCCTGTTATCCTAAAATCTGTCTTAATGTTTCGTTCCTCAGCTCAGTGGTGATGATTCACCAGGAGGTTCTCTGAGCTTGGTGCTAGCTGCCTCACAGTAGTGCTACTTCTGCATCTACAACAAGACCCCACCAGCACCTACCTGAAGGATCTGCTGCTCCAGCTGCGAGTTGCCTTTGCACAGGTTCATTATGTGCTGCAACAGTAGCTTCGTACTCTCTGTTTTCCCTGCACCGCTCTCTCCGCTGCAAAGAAGTGAGGAAATTCCAGTTGCCATAAAGTACAATTGCTCTGACCCTCATGTCTTAATGTCCTATTGCTTGAGCATGCAATCCAGCAGTTTTACACCTTTTTCAGCTGTAACAGTGGGTTCCACAGTGTACTGATTTCTGCCCGGAGGAGTTTTTCCCCATTTACCAGGAAGTACAGAAATATTTCATGATGTCATTACTGGATGGGACACATAGAAGAGTTCACTTGATCTGCTTCTTAATGATCTGTTAATACTTAACAATCCCCCTCAGAAGTGTTCTGATTCACCAACTGCCTCATATATGCTGTGGTCAACAGATTCCTGCTTCTACGGACTATTTGCCCCATCTCACATCCAGAAGTGAGCAATTGATCTTGTGATACTGCTGCAATCTCAAATCTCAGGCTCTTTACATGCTTCAGCTGGTTAATAATGCTGGCCTATAGCTGCAGAGCTGCCGTCACACCTACAGCAGCAATGCTGCACGTCATTTTGGCATCGCACAGACTCAGCACTCCACCTCCAAGTCAAATAAGTAGCACTCAGAAAGCACAGCTTCCCGACCTACGGGAGAGGGAATGCTCAGTCAAGGACACATTGCCTCACCGACCAACAGCATCACACTGGCACACAACTCCAGCATCTGCATAGTAAAATAAAAATGCAGGAAACGATGCAGGTATATGTGAGGGCTGGTCTCTGTTTACACACCTGACCTTTGAGCATCAGGTGTGGCTTTGCTGCTTCGCAACTTCCAGTAACTCCGTGCTTGCACCTGGCACAGGCTGCTAAATACCTCAAGCTCTAAGATGAATACCTGATCCCAAGCATGTATTGAGCCATCATCACCTGAATATGGGAAACCAAAACAAGACCATATGCTATCCAGCACTCCTGCCACACAGATAAGATGATCTCTGATTGTCATAGAATAGTTTGGGTTGGAAGGTACCTTTAAGATCACCTAGTTCCAAACCCCTACAATAGGCAGGGACACTTCCCTCTGGATCAGGTTGCCCACAGCCCCATCCAGCCTGAATTTGAATACCTCCATGGAAGAGACACCCACAACCTCTGCACAACCTGTTCCAATGTCTCATCACATTCACAGTAAAGAATTTCTTCCTAATATCTAATCTAAATCCACCCTCCTCCAGATTAAAGCCATTTCCCCTTATCCTGTTGCTAGATCCCTTAGCAGAAGTCCCCCCCCACTTTCTCGTAGAGCCCTTTCAGGTACTGGAAGGCTGCTATGAGGTCCCCCTGGAGCCTTCTCTTCTCCCCCGGCTCTCTCAGCCTGTCCCATAGTGGAAGTGCCCCAGCCCTCTGATCATCTTTGTGGTCCTCCTCTGGACCTGCTCCAACAACTCCACATCCCTCATGTTAGGGGCTACAGAACTGGACACAGTTCTTGGAGACTTCCTTCCTCCACGGAAGCACTGTCATTCAGCACTCCCCCAGGTCAAGCTGACCCTTATGTTCTTAAACAAGGGCAACAGCTCTGCCAAGTCCTGCAAGCTCACTCTCCAGCTGTGGGTATGTAACTGCCCCAGGCTGTGAAGAAAAGCAAAGTCATCTCCAGGAGACCCATGTGCTGTTCCACAGCATACTGAGGCTGTGACTAATGCCAGCTAATCTCAGCCAGCGGAATCTGCAGCTCAAGAAAACTTGATTGCAACGAACTTTTGTCACCCAGGGGGCAGCTGCTGTGTTCAACATCAGTTGTAACCTCCGAAATAAGTCATCCAGATCTCCCAGAATAAGCTGAAGCGAACAAAAAGAGACCAGAAAGAGCAGGAAGGCAATGTGTGTATCCTAGAGAAAAGTACACGGGTTCATGCCTTGCTAGACGTGGGCAACTGCAATGCAGAAGCAACACAAGCACAAGGAATAGAAGAACGTGGTGCATCGCTACACTGTTCTGATAAACTCCGGTGTAACAAGAGTGACATCAACCTCCACACCCAAAGCTTTGCTCAAAGTAGGTAATCTTGCTATTGAGTGTTTTACCACTTGCAGATAGTAAAACCATGAACTTCCTGTTACAACAACATACTTAACAGGATTGCAAGGTGCATGACAGTTGCTTGAGCTGTCATTTCTGAGACCACAAACCGCTCTCAGAAAATAACAAGACCACTGCCTTACTGGGAAACACCTACAGGTCACTCATTTTGTCTTCTACCTCCTTAGACAAATCCTGTGACTTTTCTCAAATCCTAAGAACTCCACCAGCAGCACCTTTCCCACCTGCAGACTCACAGCCACCACATCCTTCTGCTTCATAAGAGCACTTCAATGTACTGTTGGCCTGCAGACTGTTGAAATGAGCAGGGCTGAAACCTGAGGTCTGTTCCAAGTTCCAACTGCAAAACCCAGTAATGATTCAGTAAGTCATTTCCATGCAACGTAGCATGAAAATGATCAGAATACTCACATAAAGAAGAAAACACTAAATTAAGCAGCTGGCAACTAACATATCAACCCAAAAGACACTTAAAGCCTCTACAATCATCAAAACAGAAAGTTATCTGGTGATTAAAGGCTTCTTCTGCTAGTCAATACTGTCAGAGACTTTCTCTGCTAGATGATGCAATCTGCTGCTCTGAAGATGAGAAACAATAATGACATAATGGAGGGAAATACTCATGGTATTGGATCACAGTCTTGTGATACAGGAACTCATTTCTCTCCTGTTCCACAGAATTCTCACAACAATACAGAATCACAGAATTGTTTCAGTTGGATAGGACCCTTAAAGGTCACCTGGCTCAACTCCCCTGCAGTGAACAGGGCCGCCCACAGCTCCATCAGGTGCTCAGAGCCCCTCCATCCTGACCTTGGGTGGGTCCAGGGATGCGGCATCCACCATTCTCTCGGGACAATCTGTGCCAGTGCCCCATCACCCTAAATGTAAAAATCTTCCTTATATCCAACATAAATCTCCCTTCTTTCAGTTTGAAGCCATTTCTCCTTGTCTTTTCACTTTCTCTTCTGTAGCTCCCCTGTAGACACAGACAGGCCGCCCTCAGGTCTCGCTCAGCCTCCTCTTGCCCAGGCTGCACAGCCCCAGCTCTCAGCCCGTCCTCACAGGGAGCTGCTCCATCCTGACCATTCGTGCGGCCCTCCTCTGGACGCTCTCCAGCAGGCCCCCGTCTCTGCTGTGCTGAGCACTCCAGCTGTGGACGCAGCGCTCCAGGTGCGGTGTCACAGCGCAGAGCAGAGGGGCAGGATCCCCTCCCTCGCCCCGCTGGCCGCGCTGCTTCGGATGCAGCTCGGGATGTGCTTTGATTTTAAGATTTTTCCTGACTAGATTTTCTTACAGCAAAGAAACTCCTTCTCTTCCCTTTCCTCTTTGGTTACTTAGGGAGATGATAGAATAATAGAAAGGTGTAAACTAAAAATTAACTTCAAGGTCAACCAGTTTCCTCTCCCTGCTGTGGGCTGGTTGCTCCCATCAGCTCAGGTACCCAGGGCTCCATCCAGCTGAGCCTTGAGCACCTCTAGGGATGGAGCGCCTACAAAAATAGGTCCACTCCATCTCTCCTATGAAGTCAGGCTGAGAGAGCTGAGCCTGTTCAGTCTGCAGAAGAGAAGTCTCTGGGGAGACATCATTTCAGCCTTCCAATATTTAAAGGGACAATATAGGTAGGAGACAAATCAGCTTTTTACATGGGTAGATAAACAAGAGGATGTGGGGAAATGGTTTTAAACTAAAGGAAGGGAGATTTAGATTAGATGTCAGGGGGAAGTTTTTCAGTGAAATGGCAATCAGAGAGCTGTGGTGCCCCATCCCTGGAGGTGCTCAAAGCCATGCTTGATGGGGCCCTGGGCAGCCTGGTCTGCTGTTTGATTTAATGGATGGCAGCCCTGCCTGTGGGAGAAGGGAGGAACTTGATGATATTCGAGGTCCCTTCCAACACAAGCCATTTTATAATTGCATGATTTATAAGATTCAATACACAAATTACAGTGGAAGATGTTTTGCCAAAGAAAAGCAATGTGCAGAGTGAGTTAACCTTTCCAGCACTACAACCCAACAGAAGCAACCCTGCTAGACTCCACACAGTTGTGCTACCATCAAAGGCTGGCTAGCGACCACATGAAACCCAACCTCTTTCACAACACCTCTCTCTTCACCATCTGTCTGCTAATCTTGCTGGAATGCAGCCAACGAAGCTGGGTTTGGACCCACCAGAAGCGTGGATACGTGAAGGTCTGATAGGGAGAACGCCGTGCCCTCGAGGCACCTCACCTGATGACGATGCACTGGCTCTGCGGCCGGGCGCCGCGGCGACCCAGCATGGCTTGGTAAGCACGGTCGGCCACGGCGAAGATGTGCGGAGGCAGCGTGCCCTTCTCATGGCACCGGTACTGCTCGGAGACCTGAAGGGTGAGACGGCCCTTGAGGACGGGCTGGGGGACACGGCACCAGCACTCGCTGCTGCTTGGGCTGCCCGAGCGCGACACTCACCTCTCTCCCGTAGAGCTGCAGGGGCTGGAAGGGGTTCACAGCGATGAGGATGTCCCCCACGTCGGTCTGGAGGCGGTGAGGGGAGAGCGGTGAGGGGGGAGAGCCGGGAAGGGGGAGAGCCGGGAAGGGGGAGAGCCGAGCCCCGCGCGCACACTCACGTAGATCTGCTGCCGCAGGAAGCGGTCCCGCAGCGCGCCCAGCAGCGACGCCTCGTCCAGCTCCGCCAGTGCCGCCAGGTCCCCCGCCACCCCGACTCCGCGCTGCTTCCCCGGCGGCCCCATGCCGTCCGCTCCCGACCCGGCCCGCCGCCCGGCCCGCCTCGCCGCAGCCCCGCCCCGGGACCGCCCGTCGAGGCGGAGCTCGGTTTGAATGTGGAGCGGCGGCCGCGGGGCCGGAGCAGGTAACGGGCGGCGGTGCCACCGGAGGAGGGGAATGCCGACGGGCGGCGGTGCGGTGCGGTGCGGTGCGGTGCGGTGCGAGCCACGCTCCCCTCCCTTGCCTTGCCTTGCCTTGCCTTGCCTTGCCTTGCCTTGCCTTGCC